AAATAATAATATTTTTAATATAAATAATAATATTTTTAATATAAATAATAATATTTTTAATATAAATAATAATATTTTTAATATAAATAATAATATTTTTAATATAAATAATAATATTTTTAATATAAATAATAATATTTTAAATATTAATAATAACATCAAACTTGTATTATCCAAGTTTAAGTAAATCTGGCTGCAACACCAAGTTTAAAAACCTTGGATTTGGTTGCAATATCAGACCCAGGAGCCTTGGATGTGGGCTTAGTTACAAGATCATATTATGAAAGTATGATAATTAAATATAAAAAAATTAATACTAAAGAATAAAATTAAACAAAAAAATGATCAATTGAGAAGGACAAAAAAAAAAACCAAAGCAGTATTCTAATGAATAATGCTTTGCAAGGAGAGGTACAATAAAATTCTCTCATAAGATTATGATAATCTAATAAAAATTAAAAAAATCATGACGTTTATTTTATATTCAAATCGATATTAAAAAATGACATTATAAGAAAAAAAACCAATTAAGAAAAAGAAAAAAAATATGAATCAACTAGGTTAACCCACTAAACTAGATTAATCTGTCAAACTTGGAATCCGTGTCATAAGAATGTGATAACTAAATAAAAGAAAATTTAATATTAACAAATTAAATTAAACTAAAAAAGATTAATTAAAAAAACAAAGAAAAAAGCAATATGAAAAACCTATAACTAAAAGGCATATGTCTTTCACTATGGATATGCATAATGCAATCCACAATGAAATATTGATATATTTTAGTTATAGTTATAATATTAAAAAATGAAATTAAAAGGAGAAAACTAATGAAAAAAAATCTGAATCAACTAAGCTAACCCATCAAATCAGGTTACTCGTCAAACCTAAGATTCGTGTCATGAAAGTGTGATAATTAAATAGAAAAAATTAATATTAATAAACTAAATTAAACAAAAAAAGATTAAAAAAACAAAGAAAAAACTCATAAAAAAAGAAAAAAAATATGAATTAACTAGGTTAACCCATTAAATCAAGTTAAACCATCAAACTTGAAATTTGTTTCATGAAAATTTGATAACTAAATAGAAAAAAATTAATATTAACAAACTAAATTAAAAAAATAAAGCAAAAACACAAAAATAAAATAAAAGCACCAACTTTTTCACTATGAATTGTATAGAACAGTCCATAGTAAAAGGTTGATGCCTTTTAGTTATAGTTAATTATAATATTAAAAGATGAACTTGAAAGGAAAAAAACTGACGAGGAAAAGAAAAAAAGTTGAATCAACTGGGTTAATTTATCAAATCAGGTTAACCTGTGAAATCTAATATTCGTCTCATAAGAGTATGATAACTAAATAAAAAAAATTTAACATTAATGAACTAAATTTTAAAAAAATATTAATTAAAAAGAAAAAAACAAAGGAAAAAAAACTAATGAAAAAAAAGAAAAAAAATCTAAATTAACTGGGTTAACTCGTCAAACCAGGTTAACCTGTCAAACCTAAAATTTGTAACATGAAAGTTTGATAGCTAAATAGAAAAAAAAAATTAATATTAACAAAATAAATTTAAAATAAATAAAAAGGAAAAAAAAAGGAAAGAGCAAAAAAAACTTAGAAACAAAAAAAAGAGATTAATTTAAAAGAAAAACAAAGGAAAAAAAACCTTCATCAAGAAAAAAAACTAATGAAGAAAAAGAAATTTTTTTTTTGAATTAACAGGGTTAACTCTTCAAACCAGGTTAGCCCGTCAAACCAGGGATTTTAGAAGAAAAAATTACAGGTTAACGCAGAATTAGTTTGGTTAACCTCTCAAACCCGGGATCCGTGTCATAAAAATTTAATAATAAAATAAAAAAATTTAACATTAACAAACTAAAATAAATGAAAAAATTAATTAAAAATAAAAATAAGAAAAAAATCCAGGTTAATCAGTTAAATTCAAAATTCATGTCATGAAAGTTTAATAACTGAATATAAAAAAATTTAACACTAACAAACTAAATTAAATAAAAAGAAGAAGAAAAAACACGCTGAGCCTCTTCACCATAGGTTGATTACAATATTAGAAAATGGAATTGAAAGGAAAAAAACTAATAAAAAAAAAATTAGAATCAACTGAGTTAACCAACCAAATCAGGTTAACTCGTCAACTTGGGATTTGTGTTATTAGAGTGTGATAACTAAATAGAAAAAAATTAATAATAATAAATTAAATTAAACAAAAAAATTAATTAAAAGGAAAAGACAAAGAAAAAAACCTATATAAAAAAAAAACAATGAAGAAAAAAATCTGAATTAACTGAGTTAACTTGTAAAATCAAATTAATCAATCAAACCTTAGATCCGTGTTATGAAAGTTTAATAACTAAATAGAAAAAAAATTTATATTAACAAACTCAATTTTTTAAAAAATTCATTAGAAAAGAAAAAAAAAAGAAAAAAACCTACATGAAAAAAATAATAAAAAAAAATAAATTAACTGAGTTAACACGCCAAATTTAAAATTCATATCACAAAAATTTAATAATTAAATAGAAAAAAATAAAATTTACAGGCTAACATAAAATTAGCTGGGTTAACCTGTCAAATCTAGAATATATATCATAAAAATTTAATAATTAAATAGAAAAAAAATTAACATTAATGAACAAAATTAAATAAAAAAATTTATTAAAAAAAATTAAAAAAGAATTATATTAACACGTCAAACCTGAAATCTATATCATAAAAATTTAATAGCTAAATAAAATAAAAAAAATTAACAAATTTAATAACTAAATAGAACAAAAAAATTAACATTGAGAAACTACATTAAACAAAAAAAATTCATTAAAAGAAAGAAAAAATCACTCAACATTTTTACAGTCTAATGAATCATTTTAGTTATAAAAAACAAAGCAAAAACACAAAAATAAAATAAAGGCACCAACCTTTTCACTGTGAATTGCATAGTACAGTCCATAGTAAAAGGTTGATGCCTTTTAGTTATAGTTAATTATAATATTAAAAAATAAACTTGAAAGGAAAAAAATTGACGAGGAAAAGAAAAAAAATTGAATCAACTGGGTTAATTTATCAAATCAGGTTAACCTGTGAAATCTAATATTCGTCTCATAAGAGTATGATAACTAAATAAAAAAAATTTAATATTACTGAACTAAATTTTAAAAAATATTAATTAAAAAGAAAAAAAACAAAGGAAAAAAAACTTATAGGAAAAAAAACTTATGAAAAAAAAGAAAACAAATCTAAATTAACTAGGTTAACTCGTCAAACCAGGTTAACCTGTCAAACCTAAAATCTGTAACATGAAAGTTTGATAGCTAAATAGAAAAAAAAATTTAATATTAACAAAATAAATTTAAAATAAATAAAAAGGAAAAAAATGGAAAGAGCAAAAAAAACTTAGAAACAAAAAAAAGAGATTAATTTAAAAGAAAAACAAAGGAAAAAAAAACCTTCATCAAGAAAAAACACTAATGAAGAAAAAGAAATTTTTTTTTGAATTAACAGGGTTAACTCTTCAAACCAGGTTAGCTCGTCAAACTTGGTATTTTTTTAAAAAAAATTATGGGTTAACGCAGAATTAGTTCGGTTAACCTCTCAAACCCGGGATCCGTGTCATAAAAATTTGATAACGAAATAAAAAAATTTAACATCAACAAACTAAATTAAATGAAAAAATTAATTAAAAAGAAAAACCAGAAAAAAATCCAAGTTAATCAGTTAAATTCAAAATCTGTGTCATGAAAGTTTAATAACTAAATATAAAAAAATTTAACACTAACAAACTAAATTAAATTAAAAAAAAGAAGAAAAAACACGATCAGCCTCTTCACCATGGGTTGATTACAATATTAGAAAATGGAATTGGAAGGAAAAAAACTAATGAAAAAAAAATTAGAATCAACTGAGGTAACCAACCAAATCAGGTTAACTCGTCAAATTTGGAATTTGTGTTATTAGAGTGTGATAACTAAATAGAAAAAAAATTAATAAAAATAAATTAAATTAAACAAAAAAATTAATTAAAAAGAAAAGACAAAGAAAAAAACCCACATTAAAAAAAAAACCAATGAAGAAAAAAATCTAAATTAACTGAGTTAACCTGTAAAATTAGATTAATCAATCAAATCTCAGATCCGTGTTATGAAAATTTAATAACTAAATAGAAAAAAAATTTATATTAACAAACTCAATTTTTTAAAAAATTCATTAGAAAAGAAAAAAAAAGGAACAAAAAATTAATAAAAAAAATAAATTAACTAAGTTAACACGCCAAATTTGAAATTCATGTCACAAAAAGTTAATAACTAAATAGAAAAAAATAAAATTTACATGCTAACCTAAAATTAGCTGGATTAACCTGTCAAATCTAGAATCCGTATCATAAAAATTTAATAATTAAATAGAAAAAAAAATTAACATTAATG